AGCAGGAGTAGGACGAGGGGAGGAGCAGCAGCAGCAGCAGCAGCAGGACGAGGAGGAGGGGCTATAGCCCAATCCTGACAATGATGATCATGACGATGATGCCGCCAACAACAGTGGTGATGATGATGATGATGCTGATGATGACGACGATGATGACGACGTCGCCAACGCTGCCCGCGCCGCAGCCGCAGCCGCTGCAGCTGCTGGCAGCGGTGGTGGGGCTGGTGCCGGTGCAGGTGCTGGTGCAGGTGTCGGTGCTGGTTCCAGTAGCGGCAGCGGCGGTAGCTGCTGTGGTTGTGGTGGCGAAGCAGACCTGGCGAATGTGAATGACTCCTGAAGGGGACGAGCGATCCTTGCAATCCAAAGAGACACAGAGATGGAGAGGTGACGGTAGCAGTGGCACTTGTTGTACATGCTAATGCCGAGGTGTCGGCGGCATTGATAATTGCCTCTACGATAATCCATAGATGTGCAGTACATACACCAATGCCTAAGCAAAGCACGCTACCAATTCCAAGCCTCCCCCTGCGATCCTCTGATAGAATCAATCTGATGCCGCGTTGCATGCTCATGTCCCGACACTACTCAAGCAAGATTCAACTCAAGTGTAGACCCACTAGCTTGGGTGATCTGGAAAGTTTACCGACATCCTGATAAGCCAATGCACTTCTTCTTTTCATGAATCCCATGAACCTGTAGAAACATCAGCCAGCTCCCCTGGGACAAACTCTGCTGGGCTGCTCGTGCATGCGTGTGATGACCCGCTGTACCCGGTGCTCGGCGGACTCTTGGAGGAGCTCAACGTGGCTAACATTCCTGAACCTGGCTGATCCTACTGGTGGCGAGTACGAATGGAGACATACATCCCTGTAGCGATCCCTACGTAGTCCCTTGCAGAAGTCCCAATATCCTGTTCTCTCATTTCATGCTGACCATCAGGAAGTAAAGCTGCATGCAGGTTTGAGGAAGCCGTTCAGCTTATCCCTGGGCAACTCTTTCATTTCCTCCGCATACTCCTTGCTGTCCCTCTTGCTTTACGCTTACGGGAGAACGCGGGGAAGATTTGCAACATGGGGTACCCTAGGAGATTTTAGGGGTAACAGGAAATCGCAGTAGAGCTACTGGGGCTACCCCCGGGAGATGATGAACGTGTCGCTTCGAGAGACGCCTACATCTCTCAACATCACTCTATGCAGCCTCCTCTCGTCACAACGCCGAGGGAGTGCACCAAGAGTCTGCAGAGCACTTACCTCAACGTCTGGGACTTTTTCAAAAAACAGCTGCGCAAGGCCCTGAGGCATATACAGAGATTACGAGGGGATGAAAAGGATGCATCCTGTGGATTGTGCAGGCTGACTTTGAGTAATTCCTTCTGGGTGTTCCAGCACCCTGCATTTGAACTATCTTGCTCCCAGAGATGAAACGTCACGAAATTCAAAATCAAGAACAGAAGAGAGCCTGACTGCGCCTGCCTTCCCTTCAGGCAAAGAACTGCAAAAAAGCCAATTTGATGTTCTCCAGTACTGAGTGAGGAACCTATCAGCTCTTGCACCTCAACAGACACAAAGCTGCTGACAAGATGCCTGCAGGTGCATATGTAGAGACGAAAGCCAAGGCGACACTTCCAAGCAGCCCTGCCAGGCACTCCACGCGTGAGGTTTGCAGAATCACTCCCAAAGTATGTGCGTCTATGCAGAGGTGTACATATCTATACATGTGTATGTATATGTATCGTGTATGTATATGTATGTGTATATTACGTGTGTGTATATATATATATAGGTATATGTGTGCGTGCTTGTATGCTTGTATGCATCATCTTGACATGGCTGTGGATCCAGAAACATGTTGTCGCGTGGCCCCGCACACCCTGCTACATAGCCCTTTGTCGCTGCCTGCGGTTACATACCTTTGGTGTGAATTCTTGGTGTAGGTGTGCCCACACAAGAGCTTTGTCGCAAAGGTGCGGGTCGCGAGACGGGAAATTCTTTTACAAGCCTATATGAGTTGTTCAAGACACCTTTTCCTATGAGGGCCATGAGGTAGTTTCCCGTTTGTAGTCTTGTAGTTAGGATCCCCCTTTTCCCAACGATCCTTTTACACGGACCTTTAGAACAACCCCCACGTCTTGGAATTGCTGCCCAAGCCTGCGACAAACCAAAGTGTGTTTGACTAACAGCCATATCAGGACCCAAGCGGAGACACATAATGCTGAGAAACATCCACAGCAGAAAAAAAGCGCTGCCTCCATAGCTACAAGCCCCAGCACTGGAAAATCCGGAAGTCCAAGTCAGGCCCCATTATGCTGAGGAATTACAGGCATTAGGAAATTAGGAAACCCAATGCCCAAATAGGAATCCCAAGCTAAGTCAGACTAGGTCCTCTTAAGGATAAGGGTGCTTTGCATGCACTAAGAGACTGGAATTTCGGGATTATGATACGCGGCTTGTCTAGTGATTACGGATCCCCTAGTTCTCTACTGAGGGATCATTTTTCTGGGTTGCTCGTAAGTTACCAGCAACCCAGTCTTGAGCAGTTCAAAGCTGGACTGCTTAGCAGGCCATTCCCTCATTCACTCCCCAGCACCAGGGAGGAAAGCTGGCAGCTGTACTGTACAAGCCCTGTTTCCGTCTCACATTCAAGTGTCTTGTCCATTTCATATCCATATATGACCCCATACTTGTAGTAGCTTCCAACTAATTGTCCATGACCTCTTCCACTTGCTCCTCCACCATTGGGTGCATAATGCCTTTCCCTACACCGATTTACGCCCGGCCTCTGTCTTGTCTGCAGAGTGAGGCGCAGTTACCTCCAAGCTGCAGTCAACCATGAGGGTTGAAGGTTAAGGGTTAAGGGTTTGAGGTTGTGAGCTGCAGTCTACATTCCCTCTGAAGCTACAATTAGGGTTACGGGGAAAGGTTTACATTACCTTTCAACCTACAAGTATTGGACATTGGGGCTGTGGATGAGAAATAAACCAAGACTGATGCAAGGAACCCTCTGCCAGCAATAGTGACAGCAGCGCATTTTCCAGAATTTTGAAGATTGGAATCCAGGGTATCTGCCCCAAAGCGACAGGATTGCTTTTGCGTTTCAATGGATTGCCAAGGGTCCATAATTTGAGAGGTCCCATGAAGCAACAGATAGATTGGGCGGGCCAGCTATGCGTGTGATCATCCGAGGGTTTCCCAAAACAGGGGCGACCCCAGACGGTTTGATGGGTCCTCATTTTGGGCATTGAGGACCCTTCAGGGATGATCTGTCATTCCTCCCAGACATGCAGATGGTAGTTAAAATGGGACACCCCAATAGACCCCAATAAACTATAGTCCTTATTATAGGGACCCCCAAAAAGGTACCCATAATTTTGGGAAACCCCCAAATGACTCATAAGCCTCCATTTCAGTCTGGAGCATGGATGTGGCAGCAGGCTCAGACTCATCCTCAATGGCGGCTTTGCTCGCATATCAGCTCAAAAGCACAATGGGGTATAACTATTGGGGCTATATTAGCATAAGACTAAAGGATAATGGAAAAGAAAGTGGAAACTATTATAGCATATTGGGGTTATACAGGGGATAGTGGCAAAGAAAATGGAAACTACTATTAAGGGTTCTTTAGGGTATAGATTATGGGGTATATGGGGATCTTGGGCTGATGGCTGAGATCTCTGACTGGCTGTGGCTGAGCTGAACCTCTGCTATGACTGATGCTCTTGTCCCTACAGCTTTCCTCGCCTCCATTAAGCATTTGCCCCTGATCTGCTGCTGAAACTCCAAATCCAAGTCATGGCCTGTGAGCTAGCTGAAATACAGCATCACTGTATGCACTCAAAACGACCCAGAATGGCACTCTGATAAGGTGTGTGAACTCCTCTCTCATCATCGAAGAAACGATACAGGTGAGGCGCCGTGCCGGCGCCATGACTGGGATGTTGCCCGACGCTGGTCTTGCGGTTCGTGAGACTGATGGCTGACCTGTGAATCTCGTGAAAACAGCTTCTGCCGCAGGTTAGTTGCTGAATCATTAAAAGTCGTGCTCCACTTATCCGCCAGCAGACCTATGCAAATCGCAGCAGCGGGCGGCAGCACACCCTTCGGCAAAAGGAGACCATCCCAGGCAGCTCCTAGAAGACAAAGAAACACTTTCCTGAAAGGCCGGGTCGCTGGAGCAGGGCCACCCGCATTAGTTCGGCTTCCCGGTCAGCGCTGTCCTTATGCACGAGCAGAACCCATCGGATTGAATGCAGGCTGGTCGTACAGAGGGAAAAAAACAGTCTGTCCTACACGACGGAAGCGCAGGCTCCGGGGAAACAACTCCACCTGCTTTTTAGGCTTGCCATGGCTTGCCTGCTGCGTCAGCCCTTCTGGGCACTCTTCATGCTGGCCAGGGGACCGGGGAGGGATGTCCCAGCTCCAGATTGCAGATTTCCCCACTGCATTCTGGAGATGCGAAGAGGTTATCAGCCGCGCTGGCTGACAGGAGGGCTGCGAGCAGCACCAAAAGATGTCTCATCACAAGCTTCATGGAAAATCCTTGGTCGCAAACCGCCATAACGATCAAATCATGCAGGCGGCAATCCCATGTGCAATTGCAGAGCAGCATGCATAAACAGCATGTCTTTACTTTTGGTTGAAGGGCATTCAGGGACCCGAGAAGATCGCACATCCAGCGCATCCCCTCTTGCCAAGGAGCGCCACACTGTGTGGAACGTGAAAGCACCGGAAGGATTTACCCGATGCGTTTAGGATCTGTCACAGACCCACATGAAGAGCCGGTCTGCGCCCAAGCACTTGGGGCACTTGGGCCAAACGGCTAGATGGCTAGGCCCTGACAGGCAGGAACATGCATACCTGCCACTCCGTCGCAGCCTATCTACCCATTAGCTCAAAAAACTTAACTTTACTAAACTGCCTTGTCGGCTACATGCCTCCCTCTGATGTCATAGTGCGCAAGGCATACCAGTGGCAACTTCCAGGTATTGCTTACAAGCTCCAGACCCATTGCGAGGATGACGAATGGGTGAAGGACTGCTGGACGGACTCCTCAGAGGAGCAGATACTTCGGTACAGTACATTACATGAAACTGATACTCCAGGAAGGGATGGCTTCAGGCCTGAATGAGGCAACAAAATTATGATCTTTGCTCAGACTGCTAATCACCATTCGGTCTTGGTCCTGGTCTCTGGTCTAGGAGAAGACCTTGCACAGTATGCTTGGGAGACAAGTAGAACCAAAACTACCTCGCGGAGGCTTCGTGAACAACTTCAGCCATGCAGGGTGCAGATAACGGAACCATGATGAGCCATGCGCTACGCATCCGGCATCAATGTCACAAACAAAGGCCCAGGCGATGGCTCCCTGGGCAGGAAATCGATAAGGAGCTCCGCCCGAAGCCTGCGAGCCTCCGGAGGCAGTGTGGTGGTGATTACGTTGTGGGTGGGTGAGGCAATTACGTTAGCCCTCACAAGGTCTTTCAAATGCATTGTTGTGGACCGCTTTCAGTGCATCTTCACTCTGCTGCCTGCGCCTGGAATATGCGCCTTCTGTCCATTCCAAATCCAAAGCAAAGCACAAGCCCAACACAAAGGCAACAGGAGGAAACTGCGCCTCGGGAGAGAGGCCCCGGCTGGAAGCAGGCGATCCTGGCGGGGCTACAGCCAGTGATACAATTCTTGCTACTATCAGTTGTGGCAACAACGAAAAATCTGAACCCTGACCCTTTGGAGCCTAAGGATGCCAGGCTCGGCGCTGGGGAAGCTGCAGACGTACGGTGGCTCAGTGTCCTTTCAGGAAGCATGCAATCCCTTGATAGCATACTGGGAGCTTGAGTTTTGGCTTCCGCGTCCAGAACTCTATAGATCTCAACCAGAGTTCAATGACGATCTTTCTAGGGTGTACTGATTGCGAATGTAGCAGCTACAAGTGATCCAGGCCAAGCCCCCAGCCTTTTGAAGTTCAGGCAACGTGTGCGGGGGGGGGGGGGGGAAACTTCAGGAACCCTAGTAATACAAGAAGGGACCACACTGTAGGATATTGACTGTCCTGGTTGTAGCTTGGACTTTCCCTGCCTAGTTCAGGCTGGAAGCTTGGAGCTTGTGGAGGAGTTATAATGTACTAGAATAAAATCATGTCGGGGAGTTACAGGGATGCACTCCCCCGCTCTTCTTAATCACTGAGCTTTTCTGCTGACGCAAGACGGTTGAATGACCATAATTGTAATTACAAAGCCGTGGCCAGTGACGGATTGGCACGCCACGTTGGCGTTGCTTCCCCTCACATATCCCAGAAGCCCTAGGCCCTGTATATCACTATACACCCCTAGATAACCCCCTAGAACCCCTATATAACCCCCCTATAACCCTCATATTCCCCAAGAACCCTTACAGAATGGGTAGCAGTACCCCTGATTGGGCTGGTCCACTGGGGAAGAACACCCGCTCCCTTGGCCTGGCAGTGGCCGAAGATGCGGGCCGCGTTGGTGGCAATGGTGGCAGAGTGGTCGCCCCAGACTGGGATTTAGGGTTTCAGGGTTTAGGGTTTTGGGTTTGAGGTTTGTGGTTTAGGCTGCCAACTCACTACGGTTCAGGAAGTTTTGCTCTCTGAGAGGCGGCGGCACACAGCTGATACAGCACACGACATGGAAGAGCACACGGCATGGAAGGACAAAACAAGGCTAGTACGAACAGTACTAATATTAATACACGGACTACTATTAATATCAATATTAGGACTCCTGTTGATATCAATATGAGTATACATTAGTATTTAGACAAACATTGATACCAATCTTAATATGAGGATTGGTGTATGGGTATTGATCTGCATCTTTACCAAAGGCTCCGACTCGTAGGGGCCTTCTGGCGCCGGAGATTATCACTGGCGCTCCTCAGGCGCAACTTGATCCAACTTGTTGGACTTTAAGGGTTTAGGGTCTAAGGTTTAGGCTTTCGGGTTTAGAGTTTATTGTCTTTTGTTGAGGGTATAAGGTTTAGAGTTGAGGGTCTAGGGTTTAGAGTTTAGGGTCTCGGGCTTTGGGAGCTCCAGGACAGCCTTGCTGCTTCAGGGCTTGGAGACATGAGCCATTGTCCGAGCTCCTTGTATCCTCCCCTATGTAGCCCCCCTTCAAGGAATTTAGACTATAGCTCACATGGGCTAAGAAAGCACCTTGAGCACTTTCAATCTACAGAGCCGTTCCAGGTCCTGCCCCGCAGAGTCCACTTGCGCTGACACCAACTCGGTTTCCAGCAAAAGCCTGGCGAACGTCGATGTTGCGCGAAGTGATGAAGAAAGCACAGAACGTCAACTGTTGGTGTCCTCTTTGATCATCAACGGCTTCTCTGCCAGAGAGTTGGCCTTACAGGGCCAGTTGCTTCTTCCGGCCTGTCTACCTGTGTTATGAATGGGACACCATGAAAACTCTTCTGAGTGGATGCTGCTCTGAGCTTTGCAGCTTTGCATGATAAACAAGTCAATCTCTAGCCAAGTCTTGGCTGCCGGCTGGACGCTCCAATCCCAGCCACTCCTGCCTCACAAATCTTCCCAATCATAGGCGCTGCTTCGCTGCTTTAGTTCCCTCGTCTCTCTAGGCCATGCTACGCTATTACATGAGTGCGATGTTGACCTCGCAACATGCCTCATCACGAACGTCCACGGCTCACGGCCATTCAGACTGACAGCGCTGAAGTTGTGTCTCATCGCTTGGCTCCTGGCTCCAACAAAGCTCGCTGGGGATGACCAGACTTTTTGCTCGGGCCGATCAGCACTGCATCGCCAACAAGTTCAGAAGGTTGGGATGACTAAAATTTGCACAGCCTCCACTTGCTGAAGTTGAGGGCAACCTCCTTCAGCACCAAGAAAAGTGTTGCAATTACAGTCCTCAGTTTGTGGATGGATGTCTTCTCTCCCTGCGCCCACGTGAGGCCGTAGACCTTGGATCAGGGTCTGGCTGCTAGGACCTCCAAAACATCACCAAAAAGATGATGATCATCATCATCATCATTATGATGCCTCAGAGGGAGGAGAAATTGCCACTACATGAGCTACAGCTATCAGTCCCCGAGGTCGCGTACGCTTTGAGCTTTGCACGCAAGACAACCTAACGCCAGCTCTTGAGTTAAGAGCAATAATTAGAAAAATAGTAGTCACAATGGAATGGTACTTGTAATGATACTACTTATAGCGTTTAGAGCAAGACTACCAGTAATGATGATAAGAATAGCAATAAAAACAATAGAAATGAAACAAAATAATGACAATACTAACAATAATGATAGTAAGAGCGGTCACACTCGTAATAGCTAGGGCTTCGGCCGGCTAGCTTATCGCAAAGAAGCTTTGGTGGGTTATATTGGGGTTATGTAGGGCTTATATAGGGGCTATATAGGGGTTACATAGGGGTCATGGGCTTATAGGGTTCAGGAGCAAGATTTCTTTCCAACTGAGCCAGGCACATCCCAGAATCGAAGGACGGATGCCCCAACCTCTTCACTTCAAGTTGCTTAAGAACTTCCCACGCAGCCTTCATCATTCTCCATCTGGCTTGAAGGCTTTGAAGTACTGCTACGCCTGGGATATGGGATGAATCAGACATGCCTTAACAGGCATGCGATCTTGGAAACGAGGCCCGGCTAAACTGCCGCTCAGGACATCTTGAACTCCAAGGGGTGCTGTACGGTGTAGTCTTTGAGAGTTGCTCTGTAATGCTGGCAACAAAATGGTTCCTTTTTGGGGGGCGCCTAGTATAGGGATTACAATACATGGGAACCATGTTGACGTTGATGCTCCCCACCCATTTATAGATATATGATGGTGCAGGATGGCATCCGTCCTCCGTATTTTGGAGCATGGGCTTCGCGACGAAAGGCACTGCCTGCAAGTCGGCACAGAAAGGGCATCCGTGTGAATCTGTCGCACCGACAACCTCAAACTCTATGCTTACGCTACAAACAAACCGCTGCGCCGCGCCACGGCAATGGTCTGACTCATCCATCATCAGATGGACAATCGCGACAGGTTGTTGTCTGCTGCCGCTGCATTCGGGATGTATGGCTCCCCGTCGTCGTTGTCGTCGTTGTCGTCGTTGTCGTCGTAGTAGTTGTAGGAGTAGTAGTACTAGTAGTAGCAGTAGCAGTAGCAGTAGCAGTAGCAGTAGCAGTAGCAGTAGCAGCAGCAACACAGCAGCAGCAGCAGTAGTGGTGGTAGTAGTAGTAGTAGTAGCAGCAGCAGCAGCAGCAGGAGGAGTAGCAGTGGCAGTGGCAGTAGCAGCAGCAGTAGCAGTGGTAGTACTGCTGCTGCTGCTGCTGCTGCTGCTGCTACTCCTACTACTACTACTACTCCTCCTCCTCCTCCTCCTCCTGCTGCTGCTGCTGCTACCGCTACCTGTTAAGTCCCCTTATTCCTCCTGGCAATTCCAATGCCATGCCCGGGCACTATCTCCTAAACCCTACCCTGGGATAGATTTAGGGGCCATGTGAGACTATTTTTGTGGCTTTACAGGGAACTATTGCCAGGAATACCCCGAAAATCTCCCAGCCTCTCTGTGAAGCGCGCTCCAGCTGCACAGGTACAAGACGGCTGCGCGGCGCCGCGCCTCTGGGAGACAGCGGCAAGACTTGAAGCCTCCAAGATGGATGTTTCTCAAGAACCTCTCCGGATATTTGGAAACAATGGGATCCTTCTACGATCGGCCTCAAAACAGAACCAGAAGTCTTAGAAGCTACCAGCCAAGGACTTGTCATCAGAAGCTTGCAGTTGCTAAAAGTCTTCAATGAGGGTGCTGTGCCCGCAAACATGCCATGAAAAAGCATGGTCAGAGCCTGCTCCAGGCTCTTGAACCGCAGCTCAGCCCATCGGATAATGCCTTTGCTCCTGGGCAAAGGCGACTTCTGCAGGCCGACCCTGATTTCTAGCAGAGGAAGACCAAAAGAAAACGGAAACTACTATAATACATTGGGGTTACACAACGGATTATGGAAAAGAAAATGGAGACTACTATTCGGGGTTTAGGGTATAGGGTAGATCAGCTTCAGTTGCACGACGAGTCTCTCGGGTAATGGGCTTGGATTTCTACATCACAATACGGCTTCAATTCTCGTAGTCTGATGTGAATTTCTACAAAAATGAGAACATGTACGGTTTCAACCCCAGCTGGATGCGCAAAAAATGCAACCCACCCGATAGGCAAGCATATATATGTATATATATATATCATGGTTTATCTTGCTCTCAATATCTCATGAGCCAACACATGAGCTGTAGTCTAAACTCCTAGTATCCCCCTTAATAACCGCTATAATTCTCCCCATACAATTCCCTATATAGCTCCCTTTAAGGAGTTCAGACTAATTATAGCTGACATGAACTCACTCTTCATGTCATGACAACCCCAAGACTCCCAAGGACAGAACACGTGGTTGACCAATACCGAGAGGCAAAAACAATTCATTCAACCATTCAACGAACTAGGAAGCATTTAAACATAACTAAGCCCAGGCAGGTCAAATTGTGGTGCGAAATCTTATGGTACGGAACATATCCACAATGCTTCCCAAAATGCTTAAATTCAGAAACTGAGGCCAGCTCGCTGAAAGAGCTGCACCACGAATCTCACCCGACCTGCGGAAAGCACACAGTATCTCAGATCCAAATTGGGGGAAGTAGGGATAAAGCGATTCTCTAGGCTTATGGGGTCCCTGTTCGGAGCTTTGTCAAGGATATGTTGGGAAACTCTCACAACTAGACAACTAACGTTATTCCCTTTTGGGCTTAAAAGATATGCTCTGGCCCATTCCATGATGTGCAGGCTTTGCGTCATCTGCCATCATCTTTGGTTCGAAGTCCCTGGGCCTGGGATCCGGGCTCTTGAAACACAGAAGGGCTCCACACCACAAGAGAACACCAGATGTGAGTTTCCATGAGCAGGGCCCCCTAACCTGCATCCCAAACAACTATAATCCCCGAATTTTAGGAAGCCCCCATGCAAATTTCTGCATGGTTGTTGAAGCATATGACTGTCGCCATCTGTGCCTCTGTGTGTTATTGCTTCGGAAGATTTCCAGGAATGATTTCGTATAGTGTTTCCAATTCCTTTTCAATGTCCTCTTTCATGTCCCACTGCATGTCCCTAATATCCCAATACCTACCTAGTGATCGGAAGGGGAGTGTCCTCTAGCTGCAGAGCGGACGCACCTCAAAGACGCCCATACGGAATTTCGCTCTGCTTCAGGCATCTTTCACCCTTCACCAACTCTGCAGCAGTTGAAGCAAGTAAGCCCACTACATAATCCCAACTTTCATGTCATTTTCCATGATCCCCTGACCCCTATATAACCACATTTGAAAGTCAAGGCCCGTGCGACTGCTGGCCAGTAGGTTGCAAACGAGCTGCATGCTCGAGGGATGGCATGGACCTTGGAAACGGACTGGCTCCTTTTGTCACTCAAGCTGACAGGTCAAGCCCTGCCACCGTTGCTATAAGCCACTACATAATGCCGGATTCCATCTCATGTTCATGTGTGTTTTCGCTGTAGTTTTCCGCTATTGAAGTGATGTTGCTCCTGAATGGTCTGAAACGGGGCGGCACGGGCCCAGATTGGCCTTTGCAGGATGCAATGAGGCATCCATTCCGTTGGGCCTACGTTTCTCCAGATATGAAATGCAAGCCCTGGGCCAAGATTTCGAGACATATGACAAAGGTTCATGCCTGTCAGAGAGCAGCTTTAGACAAAGCAACAACACAAGTACGACTGATGTTCCACATTTTCCATATCAGTCTGCAACCTTACCCCCTGACTTTTCAACTAGCCTGCCAGCTTGTCCAGAGGTGAGGAGTACAGAGCTGAGGGTCCATGCACGGAGACAAGGTCACTTTCCCGGGGCTCTGCAATGCCCTGCCAATGTTACAAATGCCTTAAAAATGTAGAAAATGCAAAGTTGCGGGCAATGCCTGCCACCCACGAAACGACCCTGCCTGCAGCAGCAGACCATAGAGACCAGGCACACCTGAGCTGGAACCTGGGCGAGGACTTGGCGGAAGTACTCTCCCAAACTAACCTCGAACGCAAGCTGAGGGCCCCTTTAGACTGGCGAGATGTCGGTTTTGGGCTGGAGCTGGTACGGCAATCAACCAGAAGCAGAAAGCTCTTTCCGCGGCACTCACATGGTGAAGCTTTCCGTGATTTTCCTGCTTCTGCAACAAATGCCAGCCCAAGGGTCTCGCAAGCTCGAGCTTCCTGCTCATGAAGGCGCAGACCATTCAGTCGTCACCGTACTCGTGGAACACGTTGGCCCTCAGGTCACCTTTCACTGCTCCGTCTCCACCATGATGACCTTCCAAGGCAATGACGCTGACAAGGTTGCACTTAGCCAACATCTGAACCACATGAGCCCACGTGGAGAAATTCCACCAAGCACAGCACAGGTTCAGCCTTTGTACATTGCCCTCTCGTCCTTCAAGGAATCGGCGGTGAATTAGCTTTTCAGAAAAACGCCTTGAATGCAAGCGACTTCTGCGGACACTGAAGTTACCACTACGCCGCAGTATGCCAACAAGCTGCACGCGCAGCTGACAATCACGTACAGGCTGACACTGAACAGGGCCGGGCGGATATCAATACCTCGGCTTCGCCACTCTTCAGCATGGTCAGGCAAAATGTTGACAGGTCTGCGCGCTTACTAAGCCTTGAGGTCCTCTCGGCAATTCCTCACTGCCACGTCCCAGGCGCCCGACACACTTTGGATTCAGACTGGATCATCACACCAAAGCTTATCCACTAAGGGCTGACACGTGTCGTGATTAGTCGAAAATGGCACCCTCAAGTCCGATGTGCGCAGCAGACCACTGCACTATGCCACTATGCATCCTTCAGGGCTCGATGATATCAGCTTGGAAAAAGCGCTTGCCAACGCAGAGCAGTGGCGTCTTGCCAGAGCCACTCCATCACGAAGCATTTGTCCATGGCGATGCCAGCCTGCCTCAGCAGAGCTGCAGAGCCCAGACCATGCGAACCTAGCGCCAATGCGACTGGCATGAGCTTCTAGACAGTGTGAAGTGATGTTGGCCTTGCGGCCTTGCTTCCTTGCCCACACCAAGTTGCTAGGCTTAAGTTGAATAACTTTCTTGCGACTTCTGGCCAGTCTGAGGGCCTGTAAGATGCTCACCAAGGCCCGCCCGTAGGGCTTGCATGGGCTTGCATGGGCTTGCATGGGCTTGCAGGCATGCTGCCAGGAGTGCCGACAGAGCTGCCAGCGTCAGGGAGATGCTAACCGTCACAGCCACCACCAACTTCAAGTGCCTCGTTGGGGCTCAACGGAAATGTCATTGCCTGACCTGTTCCGATGCATGCGGCCAAGCCACTGATCCAGAGCGATCGGCAAGATACCAAACACAAACCTCCGGGCAGAAGCTGGGAAGACATCCGGATCAGAGCGCGTCATTGTTCGAGCTGCGTCAAGTCATGCAAGATACTGTCAAGGCAGCTGGGCGGCATCATCTTGCTGGTTGCCAGACTCGTTCTCATCCTTGGATGGCATTTCAGACACCAGAATAAGGTCTCTAAAACTACCAGCAAAAGACATGAAGGCACAGCCAAGTCCAAGCCACCAAGCACAGAGAGCACGCTCCGCGGCGAGCTCCTCTGCATGTGGCAGTACTCTGACATAGGCAACTCCTGTGTGCTTACCTGTTCGCTGCTTGGCTGTTGGGGATTCTCTTCTGCGTGTGGCTAAACATGCACTCACTTCCCCGGTCCGTGGACTTCTCCCCAGCGCTGCTGGATGCCCTTGGAGACGTGGCCTCCTTCACAGGGGCAAGAAACCCTAAGAAATAGGAATTTCTCACCTACCTGAGCTTCTACAAAGTCCATACGGGCTTGGCTTATCAAAGCTCACTGTGCTTCACTTACGGCGTGGAACGGGCTGACAAGGCAGTACAGCAGCCAGCACACCGGGCTGGAAACGCGACAAGTACAGCCAAGGTAGTTGTTCAAGATGTCAAGCTGCGGAAAGCATGCAGCACACCCCTGCAATCACAAGTGCAATCGCTACACTGGCTCTGTCTGTGGAGAAACCAGGTGGACAGAATGACACTGCTGAAAATGCAGGTACATTAGGCGAAGGTACTAAGTTGACTTACGCCTTACGCGCTGCGTTTTTGCGTGGTTCCACGCTCTGTTTCTTTATGCAGAGCATGTCGATCTTTCGGTTCAGCCTCTGCCTCATGATGCAGCAGGCGAGCAATGGTTCGCTCTTCACAAACAGTTGGGCCAAAGTGTCTAGAACAGCAGAGTCTTGGGGAGTGTAGGCCGCTGCCATCATGACATGAAGGTGATGAGAAAATTGCTTCAGGAGAGTTGAAGGGGCGGAGAAACACTTTTTTGCAGGAGGCCTGGAGCCAAGACTGCAACTTGACAAAGGTGTCAAGCAACATGCTTTGCTGAACACATCTTCACGAGAAGCAAAGCTTGCCAGTCTGCCAAGCGGCATCTGCGTCAGCGATGCTCGCCCGTAATTTTCCGGCCGGCAGGCCATGGACATGCACAGTGGTCCCTGAGGGCTTCAACTTGCTACGCTTTCAGACGCCGATCTGGGGTGGGTTGCGGAGACCAGCTACATAATCCTTCCGAAGCCGCTTTCTTCTCTGTGCGCACCAGGGCTTTTAAAATCTTCGTGTCTAGGTGTTATGCTCGCCTCAGGAATGTGAGCCAACTACGTTTAGTCGTGGGTTGCTGAAGCTGTGCTGCCGTAGCACTGTTCTGAAGCTTCGTCGAAGACTCCTGCGAACAGCATGGCTCTTTGAAGCTTCTAGGCTTATTGGTGGGTTGTAGCAGGTGGAGGACTTCTTCCCATAGTGGTCTGTATGACTGTATGATCCCCATAGTAGTCCCTATATTCTGTTCCTGCATTCCCCACCAATAATTAAGACTAACAGACCCTGGTTCTGCTGTTTATTTGTCACTGTGATATCTGTGATACACCTGGCCCATTTACCGGTGATTGTGTGCGCTGCTACTGTAGCAATCTATCACGAACTCCACGTGGAACCCTTCCGACCTCCGTGCGGATGTCCACGGGCAAGTGGTGGGCAAGGCCAAACCTGCAAAAAGCGTAGAATGCAGTATGGCTTTAGGGTTTAGAAGTCAGGTCTTGTGTAGTTCTGGGCTTGGGGTTTCCTCCTTGGCTCGGGGTGCATATGAAGAAGGATCATGACCATTCAAGGTGCGGTAGCAATGGACGATCGAATGAGCGATACTGAGCGAATGTTGGTTACGGTGCAAGAGTAGCAGGGATAATAACCATGAGAGGATGAAGCAGCAATGCTGAAAGAGTCCTACATGTTCGAAGATTTGGTCAGTGTGCTGTCAAACTGTGGTCCCTCTTCGGATTCCCACTATTTAGAGCACCACAAACGGGCTGTAATTTTGAAAGCTCCCCATTGGCGCTTGAAACCTTGACATTCTCACTTCATCTGACTCGCTGCGAGAATTCTCTTCGCTGCCGCCATGCGCCATCGCTAACCTCCGCCTCCACAGTCTCTCCCCCCACCCACATAGGACTGCATACACTAGAAACTGGTACGGCACTGGGACTCTGAAGAAGTAGGAGAGATGGGTCAAGTTCCAGTCAAGTCTCCGATCCCGCACGCAACAGGCCAGCTCCTTGAGATGGTTTTGGCTGGACGCAGCCAACTGAAGGGTGTTTTTTGTTGAAGCAAGCAAACGCGACTACCAAGACCATAGTATCTCTACACAAACACGTCTCATATTGACGTCATATGAATTTGAATATGATATTAAGAAGCCCTGCTGCATTGCAAAATCCAATTCCCAGAAGATACATACAAATCCCCCTTTACTTGCAAAATAAAAAAACGCCAAAGCCCAAAATTAGGAAGTGCCGGCTACTGGCTCATTACTACTTGCTAGTACTGGTGGAGCTCCAGCTCATGGACCTGCATACCCTTAATTACGGAGGCTGGGGCACATCCGCAGGAGGGGGCGGGGGGGAGGAGGTCTCTTAACATGATGTGGGCATCAGTACTCAACTGGCCTTTGATTCGTCTGATCCAACGTTTGGTTCTCTGACTTCTCTGCAGTTCAACCAGTCTGCCATCGTAATTGGCAAGTGGAGGATGGTGGACAGTCCACTGTCCGAATCCATGGCACTGTTGTTGACCCCAGTCCTCCAGCCCCATCTTCTCACATGGCAGCAGCACATCGAAGCGTCCACTTTGGCCGTCGCCGGACCAAGCGACATGGATGGTCCGGGTCATCGCATATGATGCCAAGCAGCCGGCTTGTCTGAGTTTCACTTGTGGCTGTCCAAAACTATGGCTTAGTTAAGATGCCCAGAAGAGTCAAAGGGACCCACAGACATGCATGTGCTGGGTTAATTGTGGCTTGGAGGAAATCTGTTGGCAAATGAAGGTGGCAAATGCACACGGAAGCCAAACGAAAAGGGCGTGTACTAAAGCGAGCGTGGTAGGGGACAGTCGTAACTCTGACCTGGGCGCCACTGCTGCAATCCAAAATGTCCACCACCAGGAGGCTTCTCAACATGCGAAGATGCAGGATAATCAGGGGATTTGGGGGTTTCATATTGCGCCTAGCAAGCTAGCAAGCCTAAGCCACCGGCTTTGTGCTTGCAATTGCAGGTCGTCAGCGCTGTGGATGCGGAGGCCGCCAATAACCTTCGGGATCCTAACCTACGGGATCCTCAAATGAGTCCTGACTCAGACCCACACACTCGAAAATTGACATGGGGTCTAGAGTCTAGTGGGCACATGCCCCTCGGCCATAGCCTTCCCGGACAAGCTGCTACATTGTTCTAGGATTAGGCGCCTTCTGCCATACAAAGATCCACATAGACTACTACTCCCCATGCACAGGCGCTGAAGTCAGAGAACTGCTCCCGCAACCCGAATGAGTTGTGCGAGGCCTCCATAAGCCACTTGGGCAGCGCTGTTGCGGCGCGGCGCAGGGCCTTGAGCTCCTTGGGGTCCTCCTTCAGGCTTTACCAATCCGAAGCTTTCAGAGTCTGCAAGCGCGAGCCTTCGCCCACTTCACCAAGGCTGGCCTCACAGAAGTCCCAGCTCCACCCTTGTCCAACCGCGGTTTTGAGGAGGCCCGTCCGAGGCCGCTGCTTTGGAGGATGCACTACAAGGACCAGTTCGTCGTCAGCATTGGCAGAGAAACCTTCACTTGCAGGCGAAGCCATGTGCTGCCAGATTCTGAAGTTCAAGCGCAAGATCTGGCGCAGGCAAAATCCGAAACACTGGGACTCCAGCCATAATTGCTTTCGTGGACCAAGGGAGGATATCGATTCACACCTTGGGATGATCATGGCAGGAAGCCAAGTCAACAGTCTGCCCCTGAGTGTGCTAGAGGTTCCCACTGTAATCCCTAAACTGACACTCAGTCATGCTACAATCCAAGGTATAGACATGCCAAACCTACGAAATGAACCTCTAGCATTCCAAAGTCTGATCCAAGCTGGCGTGCATTTCAGCATTTGCATTGAGCGTACAAAGCTGCAAGATTCTCTGCTCGAACGAGGTGCTGTTGATCAGGTTGAGTGCAATGAGGAGACGCTCCTGTTGCTTTGGATGCTATGTTGAGACTCAACCGGCGGGGAAAGCACTGCGATGCTACTAAAAGAGCACTCCTCGATGAAAAGGTTACAGCCTGCGCCAGTTTCGGAACTGCTGTGTTGATGGCAAGGAGTGGACATGGAGGTTTCTTGAAACGTGTGATGCGGCCCTTAGGGCCTTAGGCACCGAAGAGAGGATTTTGGGCGCCCATATGAAGGATTTTCTGGTGAATTTGGAGAGGCATTGGCTTGTCCAAACCCATGCAGCCCATGCGGGGAGGCGACTTTTCAAGCAGCCGACGAGCTTTCTGAAGCTGAGCTTTCTAATCTTCCTGTTTTCAGCACGCGGGCACTCGCAACCACAAACAGAATGAAGAGGATGATGACACTGACAAGCTTGTGAACTGGTTTTCCCTGACAAGCTTTGAAGACTTGCCTTGATTGAAGGCCTAGGCATCGCTTCCTCTCTCTCGCTGAGATCCCGAACCCTGCCTTTCACGGACTTCGCCGCCCGCGAAGCACCTCTGATTGTTCGTGGCGTGTCTACCACATAAAATCAACAGTACTGACGTGGTTAGTGGACGTCGGGGGTTGGGGGGAACATATTCGGGCTGATATTCGATTACAAGTAGCGACCGTGCGTCCACTAACCTTAACCACAATCGGTCTTGATGGTAGCTCACATTCGGTAATGCGGTACGAAGGTCTACTTTGACGTTCGTTCATAAGTGAGTAATTTGGGACCTTGCGCATGTTGATTCTCACCATAACCTTCCCCCTGCACCCTACCCCAACAAACCCTGTGGCCCTACGGGGGTTTGAGTAAGGATTTTAGACTAAAACAGCGCCACATGTGAGACTTGGTGCACAGGACCAGAACCTGCATGCAGCTCCCATCTAGTAACAAAGGGCTTGCAGAATCTGATCAGGCTAGAGGCCTTCGAGTTTGCAGGTTTATCAATCTGCTTCAAGTGTTTTGCTTAAGCGGCCAGCAGGCCGGAGCTTAGTGTCTCCAGACCCGGTCATACCAGTGTGCCCTTCGCGGCCCCAGAGATGAATGGAGAATATGAGTAGATTTGTTTTATGTAGGTGCCCTCAGATATGCCCTGTATTCCTTAATGAGAGCAGGAACTAGTGAAAAAAAACCCTAAATATACAGATAATGATTGCAGTAATGACAATACCATATACACAACTCTTTTCCAAACCTAAAGGAACGACAAAATGAAGGGACCGTGGACTGTCAAGGGATGCACCTTGGAGCAGCTCCAGGCGTCTCTTCAGAAGCGACCATCTCCAACATCTCTGGATGCAGAGCCTGGGAGTAAGAAGCCCAAGGTAAACAGAGCATAAAAATGTCATAAGAAACAAGAGACTGGGTTGAGGGTTCTGTCTCATTGAAGCCCTAAGCCAAGCTGCCCAGCCTTGCTCACAGCTGTCCAGACTAGCGTGCTGACGATGTTCTGCACCACTCCAACCAAAAAAGATCATGACAACTGCAGCGAGGTTGGTAAAGACTAGCAGCAGCTGCGCAGAACGCATGACATCCAATCGGAGATACTGACCTGTACGCATCTCCTTTCCAGCCTGAAGCCTGTGGAAGGACCATACCATTGGGCTCCTTCTTGCAAGCCACGCGGCGCGCATCGGCGCAGAGTAGCAGCCGTTCGGAGGTTGCAGCTCAAGGAGCAGCGCTCGCCTCAGCACTCTGGCAGAGAAAGTTCCCCGAACAGGGAACAGTTTGGGTTCTCTACGTTCAAGTTCTGCTGACTCGTCACTTGCCCGAGCAGTGGGCAGAGTGCGTAGATGTGGCCAGATGCGGGCAGCATACATCTGCTTGACACCAGGCCTGAGCTGAGGTCCCGGCGATAGCCTCGCCAGGCTGCCTGCGTCACTTGGCTTGCAACTCAAGCTGGGAGTCGAGGATGTTTATAAGTGGCTTCACATGCTGCTGGGGCCCAAAATTCAACAATGATCTTGGGCTCGAGACATCGGAGCATACATCCACGAATGTTGCTGGCCTGCAAGGACAACGCTGCCGAAGCCTGGCGCGGCTGCAGTGGCAGGGGCTTCGCCCAGGCCATAGAAAGCATCATGCTAGGGCCCGCCATGCTGCAGATTTTTATAGGGCTGAGGCTTCTTTTGCCTAATTGGGCTACGATGGCATGTTCAGAGATCTTGGACGAACGATCACTTTGTCTTACTGGTGGTTGGTATGGAATAAGGGAATACAATCGCTGTGTATCTAAATATATAATCCCTATGTTATGTCATACTCCCTGATTCCCTACTAACCTCCGGTAAGTTGTAGACCGAATCCGAGCTCCCTCGCAATCGCCTGCTTGACGAAGCGCTCTGGTAAGAAGGGCACTGACTTGATGAGAGGCGCGTCCCCGCCTGCACTTTGGATTTCAACGCTGAAAGATTGGCATGTTGGACGTCTAGTTCTTGCTAGACATTCCTGCCTGTACCGAAGAACCTGAGCAAGTAGACGATGAATCTTTCTGCTAGGCGCGGTGTCCTGAGCACAGGGCTTCCTTGCCTCTTCGGTTCGGAAAGGCTCACCCAGTTACACTGAAGCAGGAACCATATTCCTGAGAAAGCTGTAAAACTGGGCTCATGCAACAGCCTTCTTGCTGAGGCTTGCTTCCTTGGCCAGGCTCAGGCTGGAGCTCACAGTAGCAGCAGACCAGCGGCTGCGAAAGCCACGTGGCCTAAGCAGGTGGTCCAATCCTTTAACAAAGACTACACTGAGAATCACCCTATGCAGCTGCTCCGTTCGCTGCTTGCGTCGGCTGCGTCTTGTAGAAAGTTGGGACGCTATGAAAATTCTACAGATTGCCATCGTGGCGGGAGATCATCTGCCAGGCATGGGAACTGTCAAAAGTTGAGACTCGAGTTTTAGGTCGCAAGTTCCCAACCGAAGACAAAGGCAAGGCAGGTGATCTGCACAGTCCTTGCCTTGGGGCCTTGCATTTCGATAGATCTTGTTCCCAGTGGCTGGATCGTACTGGCGGCAACACTGCCACAATGAGGACATGAGCAGTTGCCCAACCATGCAACCAGAGCCTGCACTGTGGGGCCCCTGAGCGACTGCCCCAAAAACCCCAAACCTACAACATTCCCTTGCTCGCAAGCCGTCCCGCAGCTCTAGACCTCCAAGGGCAGACGCTTTGTCTTGTCTGCATGTCTACCATGGAGCAGTCCCCAGCACTTCCGCCCAACTAGCTCAAAACAATGTGTAGATTCATTCTGAATTATCATAGAACTACTTTTAGATCTTCTAGCTGCACACGATCCTCCGAGCAATTGGCAACAGAAGCCCGCCTCAGCAGCAGACGCCCGCGATCCCTGCGGGGGCTGGTTCTGCAAACCATACCACTGCTTAGGGCTTCCCTCTTTGCACTCTCCGGAATTGACATATGTGTACATGTTAGATATATATGTATACCTAATACATTATGGTCTTACCTTTGACATTATATGATGTAATAATGTTATATTGGATTTGAAGACCAATGCAGCAACCATGTCTACTTGATTCTACTTGTATCGTCGACAGCAAGGAAAGCATCTCGGTTCAGAGTTTCCAAAGACCACTACCAAGCATGCATGAACCAGTAGCCCAGCCTGGCAATTCTCAACAACAATCCCCAGGATTCACTTCCCCTAGAATCCGAAGCATCCTTGACTCTCTCAGAACTCTTTGCAGAGCGCCTTAAGAACCCCTTCATCCCAAATAGCAGCTTCCAATTCCTTTTTCATTATCCTTAAATAACCGCTATATACCCTCATATAACCCCTATATACCCTCATATAACCCCTATATACCCTTATATAACCCCTATATACCCTCATATAACCCCTATACTATATACTATATACCCTTCTATGGTCACTACACCCCCCACCCTCCCACCCTTCAAAAACCCTCAGCTCCTCCGGCTGCCGTGGCCGACTTCCAAGCCTCCATGCCTTGCCCCAGTGGTTCTTAAACTCACCTTTCTTAATTTAAGTTTTTTTTTTGCAGCGCCTCTTTTCAACTGCACGAGCGAAACGCCTATTTGGCAGGCGCAACTCACAGAAATTAACACGGCAAAATGCACCCCTCAGAGGAAAAGGAGGTTCCGGTTCAGGTGCAAAGGAGGACACACCACGAAGTGCCGACTGCTCAACCCATACTTACGCAGGCCAAGCATGCCGAGCACGCTCGAATGAGCAAACAAACCCCTTTACAGCCCTCAAACTTCCATGATGGAGGCCATCATTCAGCGCAAGCTCTTACAGCTTGCAGGGACACAGCACGGAACCCCTACTGCTCCTACAGGAGCCTCAGCAGACAGGGTCCTACCCCTCCCCTCACTTGTGCTCAGTGCTGCCGCCACCATGGATGCCCGTCACGTTGTGCAACTCGCCGCCACCAGGCACGCCAGAGACATCACTCAGCTCTCCCAGGAAGCCAAGGACCATCGAACTCCCCGGAGGAGGAACATTGCCAACAGCAGCACTCTGCTCTACAGTGTCAATGGCGGTGTCAACGCCAGCATCAGTGGAAGCCACAGCCACAGGAGCTACCACCAGGCCATCAGACGAGTTTCCAACAGTCTCCACGGGGCCCTCTCTGGAGTCGAAGAGTCGAGATGCGCTTCGATCTGCACTGTCCTCTATATTCCAGCCAAGCTCCCAACAGCCATTGGGACGACCCCCACATGAGGCGCCAGCACCGCCGCGGCCAAGTTGTTGTCCACCTCTTCGCCTAGGCCACCATCATGTTCATCAGCAGCATGTTGCCCTTCCGGCGTGGTACCACCCTGAAGCTCAAGCTCGTTGCGCAAGGCGACGAGGAAGTCCAGCCCGTGCTCCTGCGTGATGTCCTCATCCGTCACTTCGCCCTTTGCCCACTTTCGGTAGACATGCCATGCCGTAGGATCATCAACCAGTCGACGATCAGCAAAGCGCCTGGCTCTGAAGATCTGTAGAGCCGCCAGCCCACAGCGATCTTCTATGGTTTCGTCAGGGAGGCTACCATCCAAATACATCGCCAAGTATGCTGCCACCACGGAGTTTTCGTGCCCCTCCAATTGCGGTGGCGCAGGTTCAGAGGTAGCCTCCGGCAACTGCTGCGACGAATCCACCACGAGCTGGTCGAACTCGGCCGTCCCTACATTGGGTTCCTCCGTGTCTCTCAGCCCATCCACAGTTTCCACCTCTGACACCCATGTTTCAGTGGAATGGACAGCGCCGCGACATCCGAGCTACCCTCAGCAACCAGGTGTCCATCACGGTCACGGAGCCTAAAGTGCAGCCTCATTCGTTTGCCTGGGGGATCCATTTGCATCGCTTCCTGGAGAGCTTGTCTGTCCCACGCTTGTGCCGCCTGGCTCTTCCTATGCTCCTGGAACTCCCTCCACCTTTCCTCATCTTCCCTCGCCTGTTGTTCTTCCATGTCCTTGTCGAGCTCGTCCCTTCCCTGGATCTGTTCCCTCTCTGCGTCGGTGGCCACTCGCCAAACCCCACCCTGCTGGACCATGATCTCGCCCGTGATCTCCACGGAGTCCGCCGACATCTGTGAGTCGACCCCCGCAGCCTGATCGTCGTCCGCGCCAAAGAGGGGCACCAGCATGTGGCATCTCAGTCGGAGCAGCCATGCGCGATCCTCGATGGCGACGGCAACGGCGGACATAGCCTCGGTGGACGACGCAGCAGCTGAGGAAGACGCAGCAGCTGACGATGTTGAGGAAGATGGGCACAAGCTCTGCGACTTTCCATCAGGTCCATGCGCTGCGGCTCGGACAGGGGACGCTCCATATGAGACCAAAAGCGCTTCAAGAGCCCTAAATTTGTCTGCTCTATCCCCAGTGCTTGCGCCCGGGTGTGCTTTCCTTTCCCTGATGACGAGCGAGCGCCAGCAGCAGCTGCGCTATTCTCGCCGCGGCACCTGGCGAGTCCTGGAGCCTATCAAGGTCTTGTTGCAAGGTCCCAAGCAGATACCCAAATCGCTGCACTGACTGGACGCGTCCTTGTACCAAAGCCACATGTTCTTCTTCAAGGTCCCCAGGGTGCCCATCATCGGCTCGCAGCAACCACATCCAACGCCCAGGTTCGTCTTCCTGCACTTGTCCTGGCACAGCATCCTCAGGAGGGGAGGCAATCTCCGGGACCTCTTCCAGGTTCTCCGTGACTCGCTTCTCAGATTCTCCAGCTTCCAGGTGGCCAAGCTCCCTTCCCTCAGCCATGTCATCAACTGTCGCGCGGTGGGCAGCGTTGCCTGGCAGAACTTCCTCATCCGGCGTGGCGCCTGGGTGTGCTTGGGAGGCGAATCCCAAACTCCTCGAAGATCGTCTGGAATCCCAGGTACCGAAACTCCTCCCGTGGTTCCATTCGCGGCGGATCCTCTTCATCCACGATCACCTCCACGTAGTCGTTCTGACCATTCAGGGGTCGTTCTCCGGCCTGCTGGATACCCTCCAAATGTTGAACGGTGGTCTCAGCGTTTCAGTGGGTCTCATTGGTCTTGTCGGGGTCCTGTCATCATAGCACGGGACACCTCAGCAAACAGGAGCGCAATGAGGCGTAGGAATGCCAAATGCCTCCTCTCAGGACTCATCTCTCTAAAATTGAGCTGCACCGTGTCGAAGATGTCCGCGTTTATGGCCGCGTAGGAGGAGGAAGCCGGCTCGGATCTGTTAGATCTTCTCGGAACCCTGACCCAGCTGCACGTTCTGGTGGGGGTGGTGTTGTCAAGGCCTACGTCCTTGTATTCGACCCCAAGCCCTGGGTGAGCACCCTTCCAACCCTCTCGAACTTGCTGTAGAAGATTGTGTAGAATCTGGCCTCCAGGTTTTTCCAAGGCCTCAGGACGTGGATGAGAAGAGCAGCCGCTCGAAAGTGCCATTCCATCGGGCTACCGGCGTTGGCCAGGGCAGCTTGTAGCTGCTGAACACACTGACGCACTTGACTAGGACCACAAGTGGTAGGCGGGCGAGGCTGAACGATGGCGAACGGGTTCCATTCAACCTTCCTCCCTTCGCCCCACGGGGCTGTATGAACACAACATGCATGAAGTTTTCGACCATACTCTGCTGCAGGGTTCTATGAAGTCGAGCCGCGGCAGCCCGGCGCTGCAGCGATCAACGGTGCAGGCGGCTACGCATAGGCAGCACAGCAAGTGAGCCATCACGAAAATCAGCAAGGCGAGCCGGCCAAAGTGTTGTCAAGAGCCGAACTCCTTCATTCACACACATGGCAAGCACATGCGTTGCTGGGACAGCGAGTTACATTCCAAGTGCAGGTTGTCTAAGTGATGTCCACGGAACTGACACGCGATCCAACCACTCTCTCTCCCTCTGTCTCCAACCAACCCTATCCCTCGCAATTTGGCGCCATTCTTCACCTCCCGCTGCCGCAGCTACTTGTCTTTCCGCGGACATTAACGCAGGATAATGCCGGCGGTGACGGGCACCGCCCGACAGTTGTTGCTGCCTGCTCCACCACGGCAACGTCCTAAAGTTTGTTAACCCAGCCGTCACCGACCCAGCTTCCTGCCTTGCACGATGCCCAGTGTACCTCCAAAACATTTGGAGCGCAATGTCACCCCACCGCTGCCCCCTATGTTTCCAGATCATCAACCTGGCCAATCGCAAGGACCTCTGCTCATACTGAACCCAAAGCTCATCTCGCCTGCATTTAATGTTCATCATTGAACGTACACATCGGCACTGAAAGTGGTTGACAACCTGTTGAACCTTACTGCTGGGAAACAGCACCCCGACGACCCACTTGAAGGTGGAGAGAACTGTGACATCAAGTAGTTGCAATCGTGCCGCAAGTGAGGCCCCCGAGGAAAGCACAGGCAGCAACGCGTGGAACTTGTTACGAGCCTTATCCAGCAGGCAGATTACTATGTCCAGGTCAGAAATTTGTGTGGTTATGGGCAGGTGCGTGACGAAAAGCGGCTCACCCTCCTGCAGCGGCACCAACCTAACCCCTTCGAGCACAATCCCTGGATCGGAAGCACCAGCCATAAGCATGATTTGGCACTTTGCCGGTTGCAGTTCTAGGCCAAAGGCACGCAGGGCGGGCAGCAGCAAGTTCAAGAAGCAGCTCAGCGAATCCCCTTCTGGGTGCCAAGTGAGAACATCATCCATGAAGGCCGCCGTGGTGTCAAGCATGTCTGGGAAAAGACGCTGACTGCGCTGAGCACATACCTGGCCTAACACGTCGTCAATCAGTCTACTAAACAGCCCTGGAGACTCCACCGACCCCTGCCGCACGCCAACCCCCGAATCAATAGCAACTTCATCACCCCATGGCAGCGCGATGAGGAGCTGGTTTTGTTTCATGAGTGCCAGGAAACAGGCCGCCTCACGAGGGTGGTCTTCTTGCATCCACTCCAGAATTTTGTACGATAGTGCCCGTCGATCCACGGAATCAAACGCACGTCTGAGGTCAAGCTTGGCCATGATGCCTTTCTGTCTCCATTCCCTGCATAGACTAGAGACATGACGAGCCGCAAAAACCACGTCAGCCGCTTGGCGGCCAGGCGAAGCGAGCTGCTGCGCATGTTTGGCTTCCAGGCAGTGCCCGGCTCTAGCGAGCAGAATTTTGGAAAATGTTTTTCCGATGTGAGAGGAGAGCGCTATCGGCCTCAAGTCAGACGCCACAGACGGCAAGCGCTTCTTGGGCAGCAAGGAGAGTATACTACGGGACCAATCTTGGGGGACAGTGGCCGCGTCGTAAACCTGCTGGTAAAAGCTGGTCAGCTCCGACAGCCCATGCGGATCTGCCGCAATCGCCTGAAGCAATTCCCCCGAGACGCCATCCGGGCCAATGGATTTGCCGGGTTTTGCGCTGTCCACCGCGCCTTCACCTCCTGCAAAGTCAAAGGCAAACCTTGCCGGCGGAGAAGGGGGTCAATCAGGTCTTGAATGAAGTTGTTCAGGCCGTCCTGAGCAGGACTGGTGAAGACTTGCTGGAAGTGATCTGCCACCGCACGCGTGGGGTCCAGGGCCTCAGAGGAGGTGAAGAAGTGATCACCCCACTGCCTCGAAAAACCCGCCAGTCCTTACTCGCCCTTTCGAGTCTCTCCTGTTGCCAGAGCTGTCTGTCCACTCTCAAGGCCCTAAGGTAGGTTCTCCATTGAAGTGCGCCACGAGTAGACCTGGCCTGACTACGAAGTCGAACAGTTTCGTCTGATGGCTGTTCTTTGTATGCTGCCACGCCAACCGCTTGAGGGTGTCCTGTGTGATGCCCTCGGCCGGAAGCTCAGGCGTGCTGAGGAGAACCCTAGCCCCTCCTGGCCCCAGCGTCAGCAAGGCGGATGGTGACCTGGACCATGTCGTGGTCAGTGCCAACTTGGTGTCTAGACCCCTCCAAAACAGACAGGACCCCGTGAGCAACACGACCCAAAAACCCTCCATCAATGTGCGTCCCCCTGGCATTGTTTCTTCTCGGGCGCCATGTCGGCGTCCGTGCTTGCTCCAAAGCCGGCGCACACTGTAAGAGACCCCTGCCCGCAGCCAAGTCCCTCAACATGTTCCAGCGCGTGTTGGGCACACCCACCTGACCCTGCTCAACCGTAGACCACTTGAATTCTGTGTTGTAGTCCCCAAGGGCGACGGTGGGGAGGGTTGTAGGCGGAAGCTCTCTGAGAAAATCATGGAACGCCCTCTGGTACTCGTCATTACAGTCACTGCTTTGCAAGTGCACACTGCCTATCCACAAGCGGCGGTTCGAAGGTTTGTGCAGCATGAGAAACCAAGCGCCACGCGAACTCTTTTTCTTCTTGCAAAGATGAAAGATGGAATCTTGGTAGGCAATGCCCACTCCGCGGTACATCATAACGTCCTGGTGGACGACAACCTTAATGCCCCCTTCCGCCAAAAACTGCCACCCTGGCGCCATCTTGGGCCATTCTTGGACAACAGCAGCTGGGGCTCGAAGCTCTCGAGACAAAATATGAAGTGCATCTCTTGAAGAAACACCTGCCAAATTCCACGAAGCAATGTCTACAAGAAAGTCATGCGGGACTGCATCGCTAAGCGATCCCCGATGAAAGCCCTGGTCAGGCAGACCACCCCTCCGCACCGATGAAGACGAACCGTCAGCATCGCAGGCAGAAGCGCCAGCCCCCGAAGTGGAGGACACAACTTTCCCTTTGACAATCCTCGAAGCATGCACCCTTCGCCTTGCCCTTGAACCGGATCAGTTTGTGAAGCAGTCTTCCCAAGCTGCTTCAACCTCAGCGACCTCCTTGGACAGCACATTCGCAAGCACGCCTAGGGCAACCCAGGATCCTGGAACTTTTCCATGAGCTGCGCCCGAGGGCATGCGACGCGTCACACTGGCAATGCAGGAGTCTTTCCACCACACCGTCCCCGAGGCATATTCCGTGTCCGCCTCAGCCACGCCAATGCCAAGAACATGTAGAAGCCGACGAACTTTTGAAGCATGCGCCGAGCGAAGGCGTTCCTCTCTCGGCTTGCTTATAGTCGACCAGTGCATCTTGGAAGGTGTAGAGGGAACGGTCCTCTTCGCTCCAGAGATGTTCATGACTATGTGCACCATTCTGGCACGCAACTGGTCAGCCTTCTCTCCAGGTTGCAAGCGGAAGGAGGTGAGGGCGACGGAGCTACGAACTCCCGGGCTCCAAAACGGTTCTTCCAGCCTGCTCTGCAAGCCAAG